AGTAAGTTCATGTTGTTTATCATAACTAATTTACTTTATTCAGTAGATAATTCTTGTATTTATACTTTTAGATCGAATATTATTATTATTACTACTACAACTATTATACGATATTTGGAAATTATTTGTGGTCACTTTACAACCGGTTTCTGATTCTGGCGAGCCACTAGGTCTTATGCTTCCTTCAAATCAATAATTAAAAAGTACTTTTTACAACTAGATTTAACAATATAACATGTTTTTGTAAATATAATGATATGTATTCATATGTATTATATAATACTTCTTTTCCTTACTAATTCTCTGAAAAACACTCGAACTGACACGAGCTTATATTTATTAATATAGCTTAAATAATTAACCTAGGGACCTAAAAAAAAGCCATGTGGTTTCTAGTAGGCTGCTAGCCCCTCGGCTAGCCCATTTCTTATATATATCTATTCCTTGTAAATGTAATATTTTGGGCGAAAAATATTTAAAAAAAACCAACAAAAAACTAATAAGGTCTTACTAGATAGAGGCTCCTTATTTGTACTGCATGCTGTTACTATGGCAACGTTAACACTGCACCGGATAACACTTGACCTATTCTCTATATTAACTATGACCTATTCGATACGGAATGTACAACTTTCAGAAGCTGAGCGAAACAACATCTTTCCGTTGCAATAATTCCTCTGAAAATAGCGTTCCTCGAAGGTATGGCATATATAGGTGTTTCTTCACGTCTCTACGGAAAACTGTCACCTAGCCTATATTTCCGCTCATGGAGAGCAGTACACTGGACAGGCCCACGCTAGTGCGTCATGTAGCATGTAAATTGGTTCATTTGGTTACATGAGTCAGAACTCATCAATGACAATGCAATTTTCGGTCATTTGCATGGGCCTTTCAGACGTTGGCATAATCATCTGACGGTCATTGTACGTCAATTTCAATATTCCACTGCACGGTTTCAATTCTAGCAGGCGTTTATTTGCGTAATTCTACACCAGGGCGAAATATAGCCTCCCGCGCAGACGTTATTTTATTTTATTTATTTAAAATTCGCCCTATTTACATAATTAAGATAGAATATACTTCAAAAACGTCTCAGTTAGATCACGGCATTGTCGAAATAATTTTCCAAAATAACTTTGTATTAGCTGAGAAAATACAAGTTGAAATTTGAAGCGTGTTTTATCACATATAAAGACACGGCACGCTTATGATTTCTCTTTGTGTTTTCGTCATGAATTATTAATGAGTTTTTGAAGAAACTTTAAGAAGCTTTTAGTGCAAGGCCCCTATTACAGCAAATATTAAATTCAAACGATAGCTATATGTCAGTTAATATATAGTACATAAAATTTTAAAGAAAGTTTTGATATAGTTTTACAATAAAGTATAGATATACAACAAATATGAAGTTAGGAGTGCATGATGATGGAAGCATTGTTTTAGACGTCCATGAATAATATAATATAATGCTGTATTATTATTATTCTTGTATCATTGATAATAAATTTTAGCTCGTTTTTTGAACGATTGGTAAAATTTAATGGATTTTAAATCTTCGTTCAAATTATTCCAAATATCTACTCCTTTATTGGAGAGAGTATGTTTCATGTAATTAGTTCGGGTGTAGGATTTATGTAGTTTTTTGGAACTTCTAGTATTGTGATGATGAATTTCATTATTAGTTTTGAAAAAATTGTTGAAAATTTCGGGCATTATTGTTCATGTTGTAAAATTGAAAGATAAATAAACTGGTCAAATAACCATTTATTTTGTAAATATTTAATAGATTTAATTTTTTGAATAATGGTTCCGCGTGCTCAGAATACGGTTTGAAAGTGATTAGATG